CCAGTACGAGACTCGAACCCGCAACCTTTGGGTTACGAGTCCGACTCTCTAACCATTAGGCCACAACTTCCCACCGGTGTGTAATACAGGTGTGTAACATCAGGCAGGGCTGTTTGTCTTCTGATGGGACTGGCAGATCTCTCTCCAGATTACAAACATCCTGAGGGAGAGAAACCACTGTGCTATCAGGACCACTCGTGTTGTTCACTAATTCATTTTCTTTGTACCAAGTTTCGGAAACATGGAAGTAGCCAAATGTCACTGTAACCCGCACAAGGTTACTGGAGTGCAACTCTCTACTATGCCTGTGGGTGGCGCGTACACCCCAGGGAATTTACTATTAAAAAAAAAACACACCTTTCCTCCGGTGAAGACGCTACTAGAAAGCAACAAGGACTGGTATGAAAAATATCCTCTGAAGGATAGAAATTCAAAGAAAAATCTCGTACCAAATATTGAAATATGGTGTGTCCATTAGGTTGAAAGCTGTGAGAGAGAGAGTTAAGCCGCATGACAGCGAGCTTCTCAAGATACCTCCGGTAAGGATGCTAATACTAATGTGAGTGTTATGCTGATTGTGCTAGCTCCATTATGGCACGAAATACCGTTCTTTTAAAACCAATCGGAGTTGTGAACCTGATTCTTGCTGTTTGATACCATATAGACACAGATTCAGATTGTTTTATGTTGTTTGAGATGCTCATAAAAGATCGCTAATCGCGTTAGCCGCGTGCTAATCGTTAACATTTAAATGCAAATTTGATTTGGTTTGTTTAGGCTAGCTCAGCTAAGCTAGTCACCACTGTAGCAGATCTTTGATAGTATTCACACCGCTAAAGGTGCCTTCATACTGTTTTGTTGACTTAAAAGTCATTTGATTGAGGGAGTATTTATCCTCTTGTTTTTCATATGTAACATAAGGGTGATTTAGTTCATTTAATTGCCAATATACATGTTTGATATGTATATGAGGAGCAGAAGTTCATCTTAGCTGTTAAAAGAATATATTAAAATGTGATGTTTAAAATGTTATTAAGATGCATAAATAGATTTAAAAGGTTAAAAACATAAATATCTGGTTTCAGAAATCTCATGATTTTATTTCTATACTGTGAGATGGAAGTACATGATTGATTGATTGTTGTTCATTGGAACTGACTTATGTTATGTGGTGTGATGTGTACCTATTCATTTGCATAATGATTAGAGTATTTATATCATTTACAATTGGTTATATTTGATTTGACATTTGAATGGAGAAAAGTTGATTAGATTTGAACAGAAATGAGGCAATTGTAATCTGTACTTTATGTACTTTATGTATAGATTGGTTTTAGAAAGGGATAGACCATTTGAATCTGACCCTGGTGGAGCCAACCAAGCCAACCGCAGAAGTGAACGGACCAAGAGCCTGGTGTGGCCAGCCGTGGCATCTTTGGAACCATCATCATCCTGTGCCTTCATTTGAAATACAGATAAGAACACACGTAAACCTACCCGGGTAGTGAAAAGAACATGCATACTCCAAGAAACACACACACACCAAGAACTTTCTTGGACTCTTTCTTTATTTGAGGTTATTTATTTTGGGTTTATTGTGCGCTGTGCACTCAGGAAGCCGGCTTAGGTAGGCAGGGAATGTAAATAACTGCCATTCATTTTGTATAATACATTTCTCAAATTTACCTGTTTTGTGTTGTCTGTTCTCTGCTGACCTTTTACTATTTCAGGCTCCGTAGTCGTACCTAGAGGTTCTGATATTAGCCCAGCTTTAATTCCTTACTACTTAAATTAGTTATCAGTTACACTAACCTGAGACCCGGGTTACACTTGCCACCGCAGTAATGGCAGCACCCACAATTTGCTCACTGAATTAGTCATTAGGAAACCCTCCACAAAGACAGGATAAAGAATATAGTGCACTGGCCTAAATGAGATTGACCTGGTGTCTGTTGTGGTAGCTGGGTCTTCCAGCCACAGACTTATTGCAGAGACTGCCATAGACCTGCTGCAGCAGTAATAACAGCCTTTTTGCAGATGTGTCCTAGTAGGATCAGCACAGCTGAAATAATAAAAAAAGTGTTTCAAGTGTGCCACTCCTTGCCCATTTTCATATACAAATCTATGGACCAATTACGAATTATATTACCTCTGTTTACGAATGGAACTTTAA